TTCTCACTACTACATTTTCCAAAACAACACACTACGCCACAGCAACGCGTGGCCGGGTACAGCTAGTACTATATAACTAAAGCATTATGATTCTAGATAATTGCTAGTAATTCATCCTGTTGAATGGTGGGGTTTCCTAGTTCGATGATGATGATGATGATGATGATGATGATGATGATGATGATAATAATAATTTATTTGCTCACTCATCTTTCTTAGTAGCTTGAGGCCATATAGTTAAAACATATAATCATTGTAAGTATTCTATAAAATACACATATTAAAACATATTTTGATAAAAATACATATTAAAATACACAGAACAAAGTTGAAAACACAGGATGTGGGTTTAAAAATCATGATTAGGGCCTTCCACCCCCCGGTTTCTAAATAGTCTGTATCTACACTGTTCTATATTCTAGGATTTGATCTCAGATTATCTGCTTATCCCAAATTATCTGGCATTGTAGACTCATATAATCCAGATAGATCAGATAATCTGGATATAAGGCAGTGTAGATCCTGCCTTAGAATCCATTGAGGGAACGATGTGTGATGGAGCGCATCCTATGATGCAGGGGGACTTCCTGTCAACACCCAACATGCTTCATTATGGAAATGTCTGAAACAGTCTTTAAAAAGGGAGGAGGAGGAGACAATCAGAGATAATCTTCTGGACCCAGGAATCGGGATATAACTGGAGATGACATCACAAAACACATGGGATGGGAACTTTCAAATCTGCCTATGTTGAATCACTTAAATATAGCTTTCCTGTTGGAGGTCTCCTACTAAGCACTGATATTTCTCTCCCAAAATCCTGCTTCATGAGCTTGGCATAGTAATTTTTAAAAATTAATATAATCATTTTAAATACCAAAATTTCCAAATATCCTTGTTTTTCCTGTCTGTACTGCTAGTTTTTGAGTTTCAGACTTCTGCAATGGAGAGTACTGAGATTGGGAGGAAAGCCTAGTGTCCCCAGAATGGTGTCTCTAGGATTAGTGCCTTGTATCTACTCAAGAGCAGCAGGTTTGGTTTGGTAATCCAGGACCTCCCTCTATCTGTGACTTATACCATAAACTTTTATTTATTCTAGCTTTTTTGTTCCCATTACAATACAGATTTAGCGTGTTTTGCCAGATTTTTATTTCTTGATCTGAAATTTTTACAGGTAGCATTCTAAATAGAAAATTTAGTTTGGGTAATATCTTCATTTTAATTAATGCTATCCTACCGAACCATGATAATTTGAGCTTATTGTATTCCAATAATTTCTTATCAATTTCCTTTCTTAATTTGGTTAATTATTTATTTCTAAGTTTTTTAAATCTTTAGTTATATTTATTCCTAAATATTTAATTGTTTCTTTGATTTTAATTTTAATTTTCCCCGCCTGTTTTATATTTTTTATCTCTTCTTCTCGATAATTAAATATCATCATTTCTGATTTGTTCCAATTAATTTGTAACCCTGTCATTAATCCAAATTCTGTTAAATGAGCCTCGATTTTCTCCCATTGTTTTATTGGATGTTCCATTGATAAAAGGGTGTAATCTGCAAACAAATTTATTTTATATTTCTGTTTTATTCCTATTCCTATTCCTATTCCTAGTCTCTAATTACATTAGCTAATAGTTCCATTACAATTGCGAATAAAATTGGGGAAAGAGGACATCCCTGTTGTATGTCCCGTGTTATATCTATTTTCCCTGTTAAACCATCATTCACCATTACTTGGGCATAATTTTTTGAATATAATTTATCAATTAGGTTTCTAAATTTTTCTCCAAATCCAAATTTAGCTAATATTAATTTCATTGTCTGCCAGGATACACTATCAAATGCCTTATAAATATCCAGAGCTAATACTCCTGCCACTAAATTTCTTTTTTTAATACTATGAATTACGTTTAATACCCTACCAATTAAATTTGACATTTGCCTTCCTCCTATAAATCCACACTGATCCTCTTTGATATATTTATATATAAATTTATTCATTCTTTCAGCCAGTACGGCAGTTAATATTTTTGCATCTTGGTTTATTAATGAGATAGGTCTGTATGATCCTGGGTCTGTAGGGTCTTTATTGGGTTTTAATATCAAAGTAATCAATGATTGTTCCCATGATGGCGGAATTTTTCTCCTTTTATTATTTTATTATATAGATCTTTTAATTTAGGTATAATAATGTTTTAAATTTTTTGTAATATTCTGATCCCAACCCATCCAGTCCTGGGGTCTTTCCAGGTTTTAAATTGTCTATAATTTCCTCAATCTCTTTCTCTGATACTGCTTGTTCCATAATTAATTTATCTGTTTCTTGGATCTTTATTTTACAGTGTTTATCTATATACTCTTTAACTTTCTTTCTAGGGGCTTCATTTGCTGTATATAGCTCCTGATAGAATTCCTGAAAAATTAGTATTTTATCCTCAATTCTCATCTTTATCTTTAACCACAGTTATCAATTTCTTTTGTTTCCTAATTTGTGCTGCATTAGCTAATAACTTAGAGTTTCTATTACTATACTCAAAATACTCTCTGTTTAAATAAATCAGATCTCTCTGTGCTTTTTCAATCCCTCTTTTTTCAAGTTCTTGTCTCTTTGCTATTAAT